AGTATATAAAAGTATACTTTTAAGTATACTTTAAGTATAACAGTAGTAAACTTTGCGTACACAACTAGTTTACATCAAAATGTTTAGTTTGTACTGCAACTACACTAAAAGTGAAGTTATAGGTATACTGATAGTTTACTAACTAAATACTTGTAGTAGCATTTTTAGTACACTTTGAAGTATAGTCTCAGTAAAGTACTAGTTTAGTAGTTTTATACTGCAAGTATACTCGTAAGTTTTCTTTAAGTGAATTTACATCATACTTTAAGTATACTACTGTCCCTATTTAGGTATTAAATTGTATATATTTTGTTATATGAATATCTGAACATGCAAAAGATCAAAAGAACAGGGTATCTGCTTGTAAACAAAAACATTTTATTCTAGCTTCATGCATTCTTTTTTTAAACACTTGAATGTGGATAAGTTTCATAAATAAAAAATAAAGAAATAATCAAAATTTTGAACAAAAAGCTGAAAAAAATACTATGAATTGGATTCAGAATGATAATCAAAACATAGATAAACTCGATCAACACCCCAAAGCTTGACAGTTATTATTACCTCTTCATTGGTCGACATTTTATTCCATAATGTTACATAGTTTTGATACTGTTTTATGTCTGATGATCGTGTTAGATTACATGTGGAAGCATCTGTTGTTTCGGTTTCTTCTTCACTTGTGTTTTTTTGGAAATTCTGTACAGAAGATGTGTACTAGCACCCCCTACCGTATAACAATGAAAACAGCTAGGAGCACAATTATAGCTAAAATATATTTAGACTTTTTCTAAGTAGAAGTCAAGTATACGTAAATGTCATTTTAAATATATTTCTGAGAAGAACATAAAGCCCATTTCTGAGAAGTACATACAAAGTAGACTAAAAGTATACTTTCCTATTTTTAGTTTAAAAGATGTATACTAATCGCACACTTGTATAAACATCTTTTTCGTAAGGGTGTGTTGTAAAGCTCTTTGAGAAAGTAGCCTTTTAAAGGCGCTATACTAAATAAAAATTTATTATTATTATTATTATTATTATTTGAACTATGGGTTAATTCCCCTGAAAAGTGGCTCTGAGGTGCTATCAAAACTTTAGTCTTAGCATCCTGGCCAGACTGACATGCCAGCAATAGTTCAACCAATGGAGTACTTTGCGACAGAGCCATATGATTGTCTGACCAATGGAAGATGGAGAAGGGTTTGGAAAACCTTTCTTCATGTTTACAATTTGGTTTAGTGATGATAGTGGCACACACCTCAGCATGAAATACTTTCTTAAGGTTTGTAATGTTTTTCTTATGTTTTGAAGGCTTTTCAGGTGTCTTCCTTGGAGAAGCTGGATCAAACTCTGGCTTCTGGTTTAATGCGGACAATGCCGACAGGAGGTTTCCAGGGCCTGCAGTGTGATCAGTCTCCTGCTGGAGGTAAGGGCTTCTCTAGTTCTGAATAGCTCCTTTAACCCATTTTAGGTCCACTGTTTTCAGATAGCCAAATCTAAAACAGCACAAAACAACTAAAGCTACCAGCACTTTATTTTACAGGCTGTTATAGACATGAATAAATTATGAAGGGAAGCTGTCTCACCCAACAGAAGTGCATTACTGTGCACTTGTTCCTTTGTGTGCTTTCCTGCCCACTTTCATAAGTGTACAGTATGGCCCAGATCCACTGCAGTTTAACATCAAAATGTTATTCATTCAACTTTATTTATGTCCCCCAAGGGGCAATTAGTTTTGCAGCAAGACATACAAACAAACATAAAAAGCACAAAAATAATACGAAAACACAAGCCTAATAATACAGTTTACAACCTCACCCACTCAGTATATATATTAACCACTAACCATTACCTACATTTAGCATGAATATTGCAGTAGGAATAAATGAGCATCTGTAATGATTACTCTTCACTAAAGGAAATCTAAGCCACGAACCAGAAGGTAAAAACTCAAACTCAGAGTTCAGGGGATGATCACTGGCCGATAAAATGGGGTTGGTTTTCCGCATCACCTGTCTATTATACAGGTCAGTAAGACTACTCTGCACAGTACCTAAAACTTTACTGCTAACCTTTATTATTCTGGAAAAAGCATTTTTAGCCTTAACAATAAGATTGCCATACCAACATATTATAGAAAATGTTAAAATGGACTCAATGTGAGATTTATAAAAAAGGCACATAAGAGTCTTATCCACATGAAATTTTGACAATTTGCGAAGACAATATAGTCATTATTGTGCTCTCTTACCAATCATCTCCGCATTGGCTACAAATTTCAACTTATTATCAATCAAACTGCCAAGATTCCACAACTTCAATTGCCTGTCCCTTAATAACAGTATTCTGAATAACAGAAGATTTATGTCTAAAATCAATGAGCATTTCTTTTGTCTTTGCAACATTTAGTTGCAAGAACGCTCTATCACACCAATTAACAAAATCAATGACTACAGGACCGTGACCATTTTCATCAGAATGAAGAAGACTAACTACAACAGGATCATCGGCGTATTTTAAAATAAACCTGTTATCATGTTGACTACAACAATCATCAGTATAAAGAATGTAAAGAAGGGGAGAAAGTTTTGATATCTCAAACAGTTTGGCCATGGCGAGGCAACGAAATTATGGTGAGAAATGATAAACAGGAAGTGTCTAATAACTGGTGCACACATTGTCTTTTCACACTGAAACTTCAGCAGTTTGTTCGCTGTATGAGGCCGATCACATAGATGTGACTATTAGGAGTCAAAGTTATAGTGCCACCAACTGGAAGCAGGAAGTGTGTCACTTTCAAAATGTTTTAAATTCAGCATCTTACTTTTTACTAAATTTGCTTCAAACTTCAACAAAATAATGTAAAAACACAGCCGATGTAAAACTGTGATGAGATTATAGCCGCCCCTTTTGTTAAAAGTTTGTGTGTGTGGGGGGGGGGGGTTACTTTTAGCTACAGTTACCAAACTCTGTACATATATTGTTCTCATGAAGCTGGACAACTTTCTAATTTACAGTCATCAGCTACGGCCAACAGGAAGTCTGCTATTTTGATTCGAATGTGGATTTTTGGAAAAATATGGCTGTGAATTAATGCATACTAGTCCTCTGAAAATCATGGAATTCACACCAAACTTTGTCAGCATAATTACAAAACATTGAGGAACTTAAATTGCGAACGGATTGTGGATATCTTGAACGAAGTTGCCATGGTGATTTATTAAAATAACAGTAAAAAAGGAAACAGTAATTGTCTTATATTTTTAAGGTGCATTATCCAAACTCTTCAAAACTTTTAATATATAAAGAACAAGTCATTCTGAGGAAACATGCTTAGTTTCATGAGTTTATAATGTTCTAAAGGCAAACAGAAAATAAAAAAACCAACTATCAGACATCTGGTCTCACTCTACCTCTATGTGTGTGTGTGGGCTTGGGGGGGTGACACAGAGAGGAGGGGGGGGTCTGTTTACACTCTTTACGGTTTAAGGGTCTAATAATTTATATCTGTGTGATTTTGTCTGTATTACAGCTTAAGAAATCACTTAGGCCTTATCATTTTCTGACAGTTTTAGGGACAAAAAAATCCTAGAACCAGTTAATTTGTAGCGCACACAATTTTATATAATTAGGTTAATAATTGTGTTAATTACAACATAAAAAGATCTAAAGATACATACACATGCATTAAAATTTTGGTAATGCAAATAATAATTTGACACTTATTTGACACTGACCTATGACATCCTGTGACATGACATTCATCTGAATTTACATCATCTCATAGATGTGACTGTTGTGATTCTAAAACAAAAAGCAACTGTAAAAAAAAGATAGCAGTAATTTTCTTATATCTTTAAAAATGCATTATCCAAACTCTTCAAAACTTGTTACTAGGGCTGGAGAATAATTCAATATCAATATGTATCACAATATAATTTTTTTCAATAACGGTGATATGATTTTTAAACACATTTCCGATATTTCGATGTACATTACTAGTGTTTCCCATACATTGATTTATTTGTGGTGTTTGATTTAGTTGAATAAACATGAGCACTGCACATTTCAAAATCATAACACGGCGCCAGCTACGGAATCGTGTCACCACCAGTGTACTAGAACCGAATCCTAACTCAGATTTCGGTGCCTCATTTCGTTGCCATGCCTGAGCGATCGATTTAAATATTTGTCCTCTGGTTCTCCGAAACGGACATAAGAAGCATCATCACTGGCACCGCACGTGAAAAATAATTCCCCGACTGAGAAAATGCACGTAAACTCAAGTCGGAAAGCTCTAATAATACAAATCCAACACATCTTTGTAGTAATGAGAGTGTCCATGTTGTTTTCACATTCCAACTTAAAAGCACAACTCGGAAAATGAGAGCATCTGAGGAGCACGTGAATGCAGTAATTACATTTGCTCTGATGGCAGCAGGTAACCTTCCGTTAACTAAGCTAAACATCCTTAAATTAAAATGCCTAAAGCTAAACCTCCCTTGTATTCACATTTCTAAACCTGTTGTCCAACAAAAGAGAACATTATAACCTTTTTACTCCACAACACCAGTCAAATGCTTCCTTTTGTGATCTGACAAGGCTTCTTGTCACAGAATGAGGCAGAATATATGTTCCATAGGCTACTTTAAAAAGAATACATCGATTATCAATAGATTATAAATTAGGGTGACCATACGTCCTCTTTTCCCCGGACATGTCCTCTTTTTGGACCTACAAAAATGCGTCCAGCCAGGATTTCTTAATTGCCCAAAATGTCCGGGATTCGGCTGTGTTCTTAATCCCACTCCCGCTGAATCTCTGACCATTGCCTCCTGCTTCCGCAACATGTGTTTCACTCCCGCAATTTTCGTGTCCACTCCTTTAAACATTCTAATATTGTATATAATTTTGGCGCATCAGGGAGCCGCTCTCAGGATGCGGTGCATTTAAATA